AATGGATTAGATTAACATCTCATCTGTATAAGATTAATATCGTTGTATTCCAACAAATAAACATGTCGATTTATCGTCAAGACCGTTAAGGCCGTTGAGTGATATAAAACCTTCGAATTAAGAGCTTATATTATATTCCTATTTCTTATGTTCCTATCTTTATATTATATTCCTTATGGTTATTGCTCCATCATACCCCAAGAATAGGATCTGCGTGTGGCGAGCCATGGGACAGAAACTGTTGGAATGTTTACTGTCGCGTGCCGCCACAAATATTTCTTTTAAGGAGAGTTATAGAATTACTCCACACCTTTGTTAGACAAAGCGTTCATCCCGTGACCGCGGCTACGTTTAGCGACTGGCTGTCGCCTCGAGCCCAAGCTCAATATCACAAATCTCGAACAAATACAATCGGATCGAAGGATGACAATTGTTTAATTACGCCTATGATAGAATCTAGATTACGGTGTTAAGGGATTTTCCCGAAGTTCCAAAGGGAAGGCGCCGGTGTCCTTTCATCTCCGACATATATATGTGCCCTGAATATAATCTCAATGATGAGCGTCGAATCGACTTCTACGTAGTGGGAGCATCAACTGGTGGATCAAGCCATCCGGCTGAGTCGTTTCCATTTTACCCCGATTTTGGAGCCGAGTGTTCACTAATTTGAGTCATTTCCATTTTACCCCGATTTTGGAGCCGAGTGTTCACTAATTAAAGAATCCGTAGTCTTGAAATTTTCTGGTAAAATAACGATTGAGATAGTAGTAATGCGAGGAATAAGACACATTTGTACTAAACGTACATCTCAAATCTTGTCCGTTGCCGGTGTTAGTGGTTTTACATTAGAGATAAATACGTCATGTCCTCGCTGATAGTTATTTTAAAATATGATATCGCGATTGATCGTGAAATTTTAAGTCAAGGTTTTGGCGTAATATTACACAAAATAGCCTCGTTATGTGGAAGACAAATAATTAATGCCTGTAATAAAACCGCTGAAAACGAGATCGATGTTAATGAAGTTGACACTGATGTACGTGATAGTGATAAAAATCGATTAATCTTTCTTTTCGAAAATTCAAAGATCCATTCGTTACGGGTTTCCTACATACTCGCGTAAATGCAGGCCAGTTAGAAATACAATTAATTGATCCTAACATCACCGTACAAAGAAGTCCTTATAGATTTCGCGAGGATGAGCGCAGAATAGTACGTGAGAGAATAAGCGAATCAATTAGAGCCAATTATCATGAGGCCTAGTAATTCACCGTTCGCGAGCCCCATGTTACTCGTAAAGACGAACGATGGTTCAGATACATGATTTGTAGATTTTCGAGAACTAAATAAAAATACGGTCGCGGATCGATATCCTTTACCCCTTGTTCCGGATCAAATCGCGAGATTGCAAAAGCGAGATATTTTGTTAGTCTGGACATGGCCAGCGGGTTTCGCCAAATCCCTATTCATGCTAATTCTAGGAAATACGCAGGATTGGTTACCCTCGATGGTCAACTTGGGACAAAGGCTGCCTGTCCGTTTGAACAATCTTAATTACCAAAAACCCCAGGTTTTATAGCGGGTCCTCAGGCTAACTACACTTGTGCCGTGTAGGTGCCTCAACATCTGGTATTCATTGTCCGAAGGAACCGTTAGAATGTTTTACTGTCAGGTACCTCTATGGGTATTTCTTTTAATGAGGGTCATACTATCGCTCCATACCTTTGTTAGATGAAGCGCCCATTGACCGATGCTACGTTCGGCGGCTGACGGTCGCCTTGAGCCCAAGTTTATTATCACAAATCGCAAACAAGTACCATTGGGCAGAATGACGGCAAATTATTTAATTACATATATATATGTCGGAGATGGAAGGACAGCGGGATTTTCCGTCGGGAATGCTGGGAAAACCCCCCATTACCATAGTCAAGATTTTTATGTTTAAGCAATAAAAATAATGAAAATAACTTTAATTTTCCAACCTGGCTTTACGACGATGGGTTCAGATTTAAGACGACATAATGGGTCACTAGACGTAGCCACGGTCACGGGAGGGACGCGTACCTGACAGAGGTACGGAATGATTTTATGACTCTCCTTAAATACAAGGATTGAACCGAGAAGTGGGGACAGGAGTATATAAGGGCAGTTTCATTTGGATTGAGGGAGTTCTTGTTAGTTAGTCGTTGGACGAATTGCCGAGTGAGTTACGTTGATACTGGTCATCCCGTGGACCGTGGATTCGTCAACTAACCTGGAGTCATCGTCACTGCCTACCTGCCGTGATCAACTATCAAGATTGTAAGTACCCCTTTTGTTGGAATAAAATACATCTGTGCTGTACCACCGCCATGGCTAATTCCCGTGAAGATACATCCGACGCCCCAAACTTATTCCTACTGTGAATCCGACATATATTTTGTGATTTTGATATTCTTTTATGAATTTCTATAAGTATGTATATAAATGCACAATCTATAATATGTATGATAAAATGTAAAATCGTTTACGGTACAGAATGTTAAAATCTTTTTGGCCGTGAATAATGCAAAGTAAGCTACGAACTTGTGTTGTTGCATTGAAACATATACGTTATGTCCCCGTTCCTTGAATTAATTTCTATTCTATGTTTCATTTTTAAATGTCTATTATTAGTAATCAGTATTACTTTAGTATTAGTAATCAAAGCCTTAATTTTTTTATTTTTCGTTTTTATCTTATTTTGACTGATAAAAGTACTCTTTAAACCTTTTCACTATTTACTATATACTATACAAATAAATTAATTTCTGCATCATATGCAATTAATTATTTTAAATATTTTATACTTATACTTACCTAAACCAAAAACGGTAGAATTATCTACTTTAAATGCTTGAAATTGGAAATCTGATATAGTTAAATATCCAGATGTTTCATTACTGTTATTCTGTCTTAAGTTGAGCGTCTGTTGTTTCAAGCATCTGTAAGAATTTGATACTTTCACCACAAAATTAGGCACTTTATGCGCCAGAACCACTGATGTATCTGTTAAGAAGGATACACTTATATTTATAATACGACAAAATACATAGGATACTTAAAGATATAAAAGAATTATATGTATGTACTATGATATAGAAGGATTAACAAATGTGTTAACATATGACTCATGTATTCCACGTTTTAAAAAATGTTAACAAATTCACTGTTTTTGATAAAACTCTAATATTTGACTCTACATTTTACTTTTGAATTACAGAAGGAAACAGAGAATTCGAATTTTAGAAAATTGTTTTTTGTATTGGTACCATATAATATTCTAAGACTTTTGCAAGTATGCAAGTATGTATGTGAAATACATCGATTCTTCATACAAATTTTCTCCGTTTTGAGATATAAATATTTGTTTTTCAAATATATACTAGCAATAAAAATGGCATTTGATATGACACTAATATCTTGTTCTTGATATCGCAAGCAGATTCTTGTTTAACGAACTAAGGCAGCATACTTCATTCATGCTGCTTCATTCATCGTAATAATTACAAGTGAAAAATTTTAACAAATCAGATATTATCAGTTTACGCAATTCGTTTCATTAATTCAAACATTTGTCTATGACATCGAGAGAAAGAGCAAACGAACGAGAGAGAGAGAGAGAGAACACTCAATACTTTCTCAATTGCTAACAAATTAATTATTGAAACTAAACTACTGCATTATTTAAAATTACATCAAAACCTAAATATTATTCAGGTTTCGACAGCAAGTGTTCAGTGATCACTGTTTTATGAGATTTCGTCAATACTTTTGTCAATAATTTACTCACTTCCTATCGTATCATATACAAATTGCTGTTATGCTTATGAAGATACTGTGTCCCGGACTATGCAGAGCAAGTTAATTCGCATTCAATCAATATTTTTTCCAATCACGGATCGTAAATAAATTGATCTCTTAAAACGTTATGTATTTTAGTTTCTAGACTGACTTTATTCTCAGTGTGTTTACATTTTGTAGCTAGAAAGAACGTAAATAGAAATATCGATTGAAGCACCTATCTTCATGACTTCCAATTCCTCGAATGTTACTTATTGCATGAAAAAATGTTAAAAAAAAAATTAAAAGGTATTGTAGAGGATACAACTTGACATCATGAATATCAACTACATTTCTTCAAGAAGAACTATATTTCTTAATGTACTGATCGATCCACTTCTTTATTCTACACAAAAAGTATGTAGTAAGAATGTATGCAGTGAACGAAAATCGTTAATTCCTGAGATATTTATTACTCCTGTTGTTTTGTTCCACAAACTTCTAAGTAAAGATATGCATGAAACTATATCCTATACTTCAATTGGTATTACAATCTCTTTCATTTTGTAGAAAGAAATATAGTTTTTTTCATATTGAAATATGTTATTTCATTAAAATCAAGTGTATCTCACAAACCAGCAGTTTTTTTTGACACAAGCATGTTAATACTTTTTATAAAGAACAACGAATTGAATCGATTCTTGCAATAAAAAACATGATTCTATCAAAGGAAACAGGTTTGAAATTGAATTATTATCCAAATTATTTCAGATTTCAGTTATGGCTTCATTTTGTAATTAAATATACTTTACTAACGCTCTCTCATGAATGACTAGAAATGCTTTAAGATATATTAAAATTACATATTAATAATTAAGATCTCTTACTTAGTGTGGTATTTGGAAAATTTATTGGTGGAAGAACGAGCTCCAAATGATGAAGAGAGTAGTCATTCTCAGTTACATTTCTTATAAAATGCAGTGTCATACTAGCATTAGTTACATTTTTAGAAGACCATTCTAATGTCAAATTTTGTTCCAACTTGCCACAATATCCACTTGCTTTCGTAGTTGCATTGTCTACTGGTATATCAAATACCTTAAAGGATTTCTGAAAAAATACATTTTTTATCATTTCAATATTAATATAGTACTAACTGATCATTATAAAGATATTAATAATTATTTTTATATGAATTATTAAATTAAATATAAATAGTTGTGTGAAATCTAAAGGAACTCTTATAATAGGTTGTTGAATTTGTCTTAATATCAGCTACAATAGTATGAAATTGAAAATATAGTGTGTCTCATTTAAAAAAGTCAAGGTGACTTTGACTTTTTATCCCTTTTGGGAAATTTCTTATCTTTGTACTAATTTTCAGCCTATTGGAAGCTGATTGACTTGTATTCGAAACATTTTTTTATCACATTATTGGAAGTGCCTGAAAAATCGTAGCAACAGTTACGCCATAAACCTTTTATAAGGAGCTGAACTTTGAAGGTTATAGCATTACTTCGCATCACGTTAATCAAAGTCAATTAAATATCCAATGAGATAGGACTAGAATTCTTTTTCCTATTGTTCATTAACCAGATTAACCCTATAGAATCCGCGAGACAGTACAAATTCTATTCGGCATCTCATTAGGCTGCTCTTACAATTAGTCCTCTTATTATCAGTACGTCAAAACCGAACACTATATCACTATATGAAGATATACTAGTATTGATAATATACTACAAGCCACAACACTTTGAATTTACAATACATGTAGTAGTGTCTCCGAATGAATTGCGTCTAACTATTCCAAAATCTAACATTCAAAATCAACAAATTGACATAAAAGGAATTTAGTTTCAAAAATTTGTTGCTCGTGCAATTTCACAAAACATTTTCATCAATTTTAAATTTACCTCAGCGAATAAATCTATTTCAGTTCAACTGTTTAACAATGTGTAGTAAGACGTTCACTGCGAAATTTTACTTAATTTTCATAGTTGGTGTTGCGAGGCATTTCTTGAAACGACGAGAGTGTGAGGTTTACCCCATACCACGAAACTCGTTACATATGAAATGAAACGATATAAACAGATATCATTACCTTTTTCTACAAAAGTGTTGCATCTTTGCATTCTCACTTAGGATTAATTTTCATTGAATATAATATTTCATTAATTTAGATCATTAAATAATACCTGTTACGATAAAAACAATTACCAGATGATGGATATCTTTAATTGCACAATAAACGTTCAATAAAATACTCGTTTAGCTCACATCATGTACGATGTTTGTTGCCACAATAACCAAAATTGTTTGGTTTCCAGAGCCTAACATAAATGTTCTAAATAAGAAGTAGAATTCAAACGATATTAAAGATGATTAAAACGCTTTTTCTACAATAATATGGAACATTCACCTTTTCAAATAGCTATGATATAATTTTTTTAGCCAATATTGTAAATATCAAAAAAAATTTAACAATAGTACATTAATAACTTACTTAGGAAATTTTTCATTTACTGTATAAAAAGGTATATCAATATGTATCAACATTAGTGTATCTTTTTCTGTCAATTAAGAGATCTCCGAAAATATGATCTTAAAGAAAATCAATTCTTCATAACAGTATTTTGTCCCTTCAAGAAAAATACTTCATGTTTTAACAATTTGCAATGGAAATATTAGAACTGTTGAGTTTGGGTGAAAAACTAGTGTATCGCATCGCGGTAAACACGTTAAAATAGAAACCACGAATTTTCACTGATTATGATTACCTTGCAACCTGCGAATTCGCGGACAAACAATTTTTATGTGGAAAGAAGACCCATAAATGGACAATGGACATTTTTAAGATAAATGTTGACTTCAAGGGGGGCAGACCCGATGACCTTGACCTTTACTTTGATGTGTTATCAAGGACACCTCCTTTATTAACGCTCAAGAGCTTTTAGCTATCGCTCGTTATTGTTTATAAAGTTATTAATTATTAAATATACGACACAAGAGATCCATTTTGCAATAAAATTGATATATGTATGGCGTAACATTTGGTTATTATTGAAGGAAAACTTTATTTAAAACTTTAACACTTAAAATAAAAGAAAGTAACCTAACTTAATCTGTCCTTGGGACAAGTCTATTTGAATTTAATTCAATGATTAATTAGATTAGGATAGGTTAGATTATTTCGAAGTGAGGGCACAATGTTGAAGTTCTACATAAATTTTTCATTCAATGATAACCAGATATGAGTTTATTGGCAAAAGCCTGCAATTACTATTTGAATAATATAGTATACTATTGGTGAAAGAGATATACTAACGCCGTAAATTGAAATATTAAATGATGACAATTAAACTAATTGCAACTATAAAAATAGTTTGAATATTAGGTTGCCAATGTCATTTGTAAATTAATCTGTAAAAGTTATTTGTAATATATATTTGCATTATTTGCAATGTATATAAAAGGTAGCGAATTGTATATTTTAAAAACCCCCCTTCCAAATGGTATGTTATAAACAATTTTCTTAAATATACTACAGCACAAAGAATTCCTAATTTTATTCACGAGTTGCTGCCTAGTTTGATTTTCGAAATACATATGTATGTTTTAACATTTGATTAATTTTTGTAGGTATAATCTCGCTATATTTCTTCCACCAGTAGTATAGTATGTACCAAATTATAGCGAAATCTTAAATTAAAATATCAAGAAGCAGCATCGACTGACATCTTTGGTTCCAGGGCCACTGAGAATCATACATTATATTCTATTTTAAGGATTTATGCAATAATAATGATAATGATTTATGACTGACGATGTTCCATTTACAATTAAAAAGACAATAAGTATTTCTTATTACTTCAATAAATTGAATAACGAGTAAAAGATATTATAGTACAAATATAAATTTAGTAATTATATATTTTGAGTGACTTTGATATATATTATAAAGGTCAACATTTTGAATAATTTCATTTATACATATAACTGCCGCTCGACTTTAGTTTCCGAAATATAATTGAATTTGTACATATACAAGGTGTGTCCTCTAAGATTAATCACTAAAAATGTATGAGGTAATTACATATATGATCCATTTCAAATTTACAATAAGAACTCCAAATCGAATCTCGAGTATCGAAAAAGCTAGTCCGAGCCCGGCCGATTTTTACCGATCTAACTCGAATGTGTCGAGTTAACCGTGGCGATCGAGCTACCCGAATGATTAAGCTACTCGAATATTCGTATGCCTTGGGTTCCAGCCCGAGCTCGCCCGAATTTCACCAATCTTACCAACCCGTAAATTCGGGTACTTGCACATCTTTATTAATCACCATTTTTTAAACATTTCCAATAATCTGCCAAAGAAATGTTCTAAACAAAAGTTAATGAGTTTCCGGTCCGCCGTATATTTGGATATTAAAAATATCCAAACAAATTTCTTCAATGAAAAGCCAGTCATCTTGATTTTTATAAATGACATCATATATGTATTCTAAACTTTACAAAGTTATAGCAGATGAATTCAACGACTTACTATAATATGATCTTGAATTCAGAAATTCAAGCTGTAGTGTATGATACAAAATGGTATTATCGTTATCGTTGGATTTATTTAATAATCTTAATCTTATTTTGAATGTATAATTTGATCGAAATAATATAATTTTCCATATTAATATTTCTATTGATTGAACCTAAATTTCTGAATTCTAAATCATCGTAAGGTCATAACATAGTAGTTCGTTCAATTTGTCTTGATAACTTCAACTTTGTGAAGTCCAAAATATATGGCGCCATTTCACAATAATCCTGACATTTCATAAAGTAAATTTTTGAAAACTTTTATGTTTATATATATATATATGTTTATAATATTTATAATAAAAAAAATATATATCAAGTGTTGGTTATATAATAAATAAAAGGAGATAAGTACAATTTATATGGAATTTTGTAGTACTCTAGTATTAGTACTAATTAGAAAAATTGCAACTATGATATTAGAAAATGCAATTACCAGGTTATTAAAGTCCTATTACCGATGAAACAAAAATTCTGCTATACATATATCCAGCACAATGTTGTTTGCGAAGTCAATATAAAATCGATGAGATTTGCTCTGTTTCTCTTTTCTACATTATTCCTATAAAATTGTGTATAAATTATAATTACTTCTTTTCTTCTACTATCTAACCCAAACTAGTTGCCAACCGAATAATATGAAAAATATTTTGGTGTATATCTTGGAGACTAAAGTCGAGCAATAGTTATATGAGTAAGTGAAATTACTCAGAATAATGATCTTAATAACATATGTCAGAATTAATGAAACCATTAAGGTGTGGCCTTGTTTATATAATTAACATAAATATTAAATTATACTTAATTAACATAATTAACAATATAAACCATATTGACTTTGCATCTTTGTACAGCCCTGATTCACTTATCTCTATATCTAAACATGTTCATATCATACCAAAATGATTTTATGATCTCGCTATACTGTGGTAAAAATTATATATATATAAATATATATGTCGGAGATGAGAGGACACCAGAGACCTTCCTTCTGGAACTTCGGAGAATCCGTAGAATTGTAATTAAGCGATTTGCTATCATTGTACTTGTTTGCGATTTGTGTCTAACAAAGGTATGGAGTAACTCTATAGCTCTCTTTAAAAAGGAAATAGTCGTAACACTCGACAGTAAACATTCCAACGGAGATGCATTCTTTTTGCGATCTCGTCGACGAGGAGTAACGCCTTACGGTTCGTGAGTGTTACACGCTTGAGTTAGTGTATCGCGCAAGTAGATCTATCATCCCGTTGGCCGCGGATTCGTTATTGAACCTAATACCACTATCACTAGTATCGCGAGTGTCCAACCGCCACAGTTGATTGTCAAGCCTGTACTATCCATACTTGTGTTAGCAAACCGTACCTTTGTTATACCGCGACGATGGCCAGTTCCAATGAAAATTTATCAAACGCCCACAACCTTATTCCTGACCGTTCCCCGACATATATTATATACATATTCTAATTTATCATATACCATAATAATGTCTAAATAATATAATATATTCTACATTTAAATAATACAAACCATTTTGTTGTCATTAATATAAGAGATATTAAACTCCACAGACATCTGTACTACAATACAGGCTTTATCTGTTCCATTACCAACTACCCACTTCCCAGCAGTATGAACAGACAATGTAGAATTTACTGTAGCTTGTATAACTGCTGGATTAATTGTTGTATGTAAAATCTGTTTCGTAGTTGTTTCATTTGTATAACTTAAAGTAGCTGATGTATCTAATGACATAGCAGATGACTGGTGATCATTGGGAATAACTATACGAGTTTGGATAGGACTTTGAGTAGTTAAAAGCTCTTCTGGCTTTAATTTATTTTTGTTTGTGCCTAAAGGAGCTGACACAGGTACCACGGAAAGTATCTTATTTGATGGAATATTTGTTTCAAAATGTTGCTCATTTTGTAAAGATGTTCCATTAGTGAGAATACCTTCATTTTTAGATAAAATATTTTCTTGGCCTTCACCTGTTGTAAAATTGAAATATAATCAAATTAATCGAACACATTTACATTGACTTCTAAGTTAATATAATAAATTGGATATACATAATTTCATCATGCTAATATTCAGAACATTGTATAATTTGTGTACATGCACAGTGCATACATGTTTTTAATATATGTTCAAAACTATGATCTCTAACTAAAATGTTGCTTATTTATGAGGTTGAGCTCTATATGAAGTCTTGAAAGTTGTTTCACATAAATACATTTCCAATATCCCAATTTTTCTAGACTTCCTTTAATATTTTATGTCAATGATACTGTTTGGGTTAGAGCATTTAAAATGCTTGTAAAATATCAACTATACAACAAGCTTTCAAAACTTATTAAAATAACCAAGACCTTTGAGATTTTCAAAACTTCCAAGACTTTCAAAATTTTCAGGAGATTTATGGTACCGAATTCTATACAATGTGACTCATATTTTTATCCACATATACATATTTGATATAATCTGAAGTGATTGACAACTCATCAATATAGATCCTTAATCCTGTGAACATCGTTTAGTGTTTGATATACATATAATAATAAAAGAGTTAAGAACCATAAATAATAAAAACTTGTGTAAATATGGATTGCAAAAATCTTTGCTTGTGTCAATATTTTAGTTAGATCAATGAAATAATATAATTTTATTTCTAAACTATAACATACAAAATTTATTGCAGGAAATATAAAAATAAAACAAACTATATTTCGAAATATTAATTTAAGTAATATTTTTATCTGAAGTTTTACATAGAAAATAATTTATAATAGTAGTAATTCTTATTAATTAATTTGATAATTTTAAATATCTTATTATTATAGCTTTGATTTCTAAAATTTTACCATAGGTCACAATATTTTATCACAAGACAGTATGTCGTATTTAATATCCTAAATACGTTAATGAGAAATAATGTATAGTAAAGATAATAAAATTAAAATTAAACCATAAATCTACAGCTGATGTAATTTTGTAAGAAGAGACCTTATAAGTTTTATGTGTTTTAGGGGAAAGTAGAAATAAGAAATATAATTTCACGATACATAAAAAATGTTCATAATCCTCTGCAGAAAAAATAAAAGTGTATTTGAAAATTCATACCCAGAACGTGGAGTGCAGTAAAGCAAAGGAGTAGTAAAAACTTTGACATCATTAGAAATTCCAAATTTGCTAGAAATAAGCAAAATCCACTAAAAATTTGAATGTTTATAACTATTACGAATATTAGACACCAATATCAGTTAACGCAAAGTATGTGAAAATACACCGCGTATGACGACACAACGTAAATGTCGATACAATTCTATACTGTGTAGTTCCTTGGAAATGTTATTCACAAACATACATTGGACAGACTAAAGTACATATGTATGTGTTCTCATTAAGGGTTGGTTTACATTATTTCGAATTAAGTACGTTCTTTTAACATACAACACACAAGTGAAGTAAAAAATTATCTAAACTTATTTACTTTATCATTAAGCAAGAAAGGTATTATTTATATATTTTTAATAAAGTAAAATAAATAAATATATTAGTCTAGTCTCGAGTGCATACACACGATCATCGGTAATAACTAACTACATATATCGTAACCTATATATTTTCAAAATGTTTTAATTTAATACTATATTTATTAGAATAACTTACTTTCAATTCTATTAAATTTTTATATGGTTTGTAAAACTATTTCTCTAAAAGGTATATGAATTGATAAAATTTGATTAAAATTTAATTGAATTAAAATCAACTAATTATGTTTCTTGTGTAAAAAGAATTATTTGTTACCATATATGTAAATACATATATGTGCACATTATATTAACAAACAAATATGCAATCATGTACTTTATACGAGGAAAACGAAAGATAATTCAGCTTTTATATTATCGATACATATATGTATATAATTTAAAATTTAAATAAATGAACAAAAAGACTGAAAAATCTACCGTTAGTAGTTCGCCATTATGTCACTAGAGGGCTGAAATCTAAGCCACACTTCCACTAAGTTTCCCAATACATATGTGGTTTGTATTTCTTCCTTGGTAGAATCAACGTGATCGTGGTATTAACTACAAAGTATATAGGTAGTAGTATGATATATTTGCAATCTTTAAGTATATCAGTACATGAGAATTTTCTATTATGAAAGCTTTTCATTGTTACCTGAAGTATAAAAAAACACAATTTCTTTTTTAATACATTATATTAGAAAGAAACATTTAGTATGAGTCTTTAGCTCAATATATTACATGTTTATCTATATTATTTGTCTATAATTGTATTACGTATTTATAAAATACTTAAAAATATTTGTGCGTTATCATAACAAATTAAAAGTAAGTAATCTTCATTAAAAAGTATAAAATATTTAATAGTTTTTATGGAAGTATTAACTAAAATAAATATGTTGAATAGTTAACCTATCTTTAGCTTTAAAATTTCTATATGTATACAAAGAGTACATATTAATATATAGGTTAAGATACCTATATATTTAGTAAAGGAAGTACATCTTTCATTTGGACTAATATTGCTAATTAATATACTGCTGAGATTTTATTTTTTTTAATATTATTGCCTGGTTGTACTATCTTATTTATAATAAATGTTTAGATTTCGTGAAAAAAGAATTATATAAACAAGAATTTGTACCAATAATTTTCATGAAAATATATAATTGAGAGAGAGAGATTTTTAATCTATTTTAAATAACTAGACATTAATACTTTATAAAATTGATAACAATATATAAATATCAAAATAAATCTTAGGTTACTTTTTACAAAATGTATACAGATGGTCACAAAAAGATTCAGATACTGCGTATTTTTAGTTTCTAAGCTTTATATTTTTAGTAGACATTCAAAGACCAACAAAAATTATATTATACTATTACACTATACTATGAAGATAACAGGAGAAAAAATCTTTTGAGTTATTGTTTATTGTTGTCTGCATATTAAAAGAAATACTGAAAGAGTAACAATTTTTATGTCATAGAAAGTTTCAGACACAAGATATCAAGATGTCAAGTTGCAAGTGTGCGTTATTTTTGTTACCAATCTGTTCAGAATAAGTCGCAAAAGTTTGAAATTGAATATTTATATTTGTTTTTTATACATGATTACCATGTAAAAAAATACAACAAGTTAATTTTGTAAACTGTGGTACATATATTTCAAGAAATATACATATATTTCATAATAATTTAATTTCAATCATAGCATTTCCAATCATAATAGTTACAATTTTTTTAAATAGAGGGTAATTGTGATTGTCGAAATAAAGCAAAAGATATATTAAACACATATGATGACATAAAAAATCATATGAAGTTAATTGTTTTAATCTTATGTCTTGTATATCATTAAATTTACCTTAATAGTTACTCTCAGATGATATGATATATAAGCAATAGTTTTCCAATTTGAAGAAAAAATAAAATTATTTCAATTATTTGAGACATATTTATTTCCAACATTTAGTTTATATAATTTTATTGTTTGAGAGTAGTAATGAAACTTTTAGTTCTTCCATTTTTTCCTTTTTTAATAGCTGTTTATTGCAACAGAAATATCAATTCATAACAAAGCAAAAATTTTTAAAATTTATATTACTAATCAATATGTAGAAGAAAAACCATTTTATTAAATATTATGTATTATTTTTAGAAATAATGGAGATGGATTATGATGAGGATCGTGGAGCTTGGACAGAAGAAATGACAAGAAGT